GTTGTAGATGTAGAATAAACCAGAGAAAATAAATATTTCAAGATTTATATTCTTTTTATTAAATAGTGAAAGGCAAGTGGACTCACCTTGCTCCTCGAATGATGAGAAACAAGGGGACTTACCTCGATTGAGCCGTATACGATATGCTAACATATGACACAAAACTTTCCTCTCCCTGTCTTGGGGGTCTAAGTCGATTTCTTTAAAAATCAAGGAATGTGTACTCTGCCCCCAAAGTACTTTCCTACCAAATTTGAAAAAAATTGGTCAAACTGTTTGCGCAATATCGTGGTACTACACATGACATTTGAAAATCGTTCCCTTACGAGGTCTCCCCAGAATTTGTTGCTCGCATGAAAAAACAATCTGCATTGCAAGCAACTGTCGAAATATGTCAGTTTTCTAATTTTGTTGCTGGTTCTAATATGTCGATGATATGATTTGTATTCTCCATCGAATTTGCTATAAAAAAATATTTCTTTTTTTTTATTTTTAGAAAAGAAATGAAGGAGAGAACAAAGAAAACAGACTATGTCTTGCGCGCGTGTTAATTGTCTCCATGGAGATCGCAGGCGTTGTTAAAATGGAGATTGATCCGAAATTCACGTTCGTGCCGCTGAACGAGAAAATTTACGTTGGGATTAATGACAAAAATACGCAAGAGTATCTGTGTAAATGGTGACATTGATATTTTATTTATCACCGTTTTTACAATACGCACATTCTTAGTTCCTTTATTATTGAATTTGTGATATATTAGAATGGTATTTTCAGGGGCTTAAAAGGAAACTTCGTCATCCAACATTTTTCATTCAACGAACAGTTTCAACAATATCACAAATATCAGCTGGCCGATGTAAGTTTAAGTTTTTAAGTAAAGTTATAACCGTTTAATAAAATTTTATATATGTAATTCGTATTATTTATTGAGATTCATAAATTTGTAGGCGTTTTTTAAAGATGATACCGTTGCAAAAGCATTATTGTCCAAACAGGACTCTGCCTGGGTAAGACAAGGTACTGTAATTCTTAGAAAAATTATTAACAGCTATGCAGATATTATAAATCTGTCCAAATAAAAAATATATATAAAATAATTGTTAGGTATACGAGCGTCGAGTGTGCAGATAAAGCAAGTACCATGCTCAGTCTTAAGTATGTCATTCTTTAACAAACTGAAGGATCCAGATAATGGGATTATGCATAATTCCGGAATGATCCGTAAAAGATGTGATTTTCAAGTAGATGACTTTTTGATATCTGACAATTTGCGTGGTGTAAGACATTTTCATTTGAGATAAACTGTGATCTCTTCTCTTTTTCTTGGAAGATTCAATCGTTTAATAAATCAGATTTGCCAAAATCCATTTTTGAATTAAATTTAAGCTGCAGCAAATTAGAAAGCATCTGTGTGTGTGCTGTCTCTTATACACATC